TCCGCTGGCGTAACAACAGGCGCTAGGAAGTTGCTTGGGGTCTTGAGGCCTGCGAACATGGTTGTGCCCATCTGACCGGGTTGTACGAGGATTGTCTTGATGTCCTTTGCAGCGGGGTTTTGTGCAAGCTCCGCGCGAAGCGAGTGGTGCAGCGCCAGAAGGGCCGCTTTCGAAGCTGTGTATGCGGATAGGTTGGCGGCACCGAGGTGGCCGAGGACGGAGGAAACGGTTACGATGGTGCCGCGGCCTTCCTTCAGCATGTGCGGGAGGATTGTACGGAGGGTGGTGAACTGAGACAGGGTGTTGACGCGAAAGGTGCTGGTGAGGTGTCAGTAGATGTCAATAAGGATTCCAGCGTATACATACCGCTCCACATCTTCAGCGGTTGAGTCGAGGATTGACTTGGTCTGCACCATACCAGCGTTGTTGATCAAGATCGTCGGAGCGCCGAGCTATAGTCGTTAGCAGAGTACGGTCTCCTAGCAGAGAAATACTCACGTCGTCGACAATATTGGCTACGGCAGCTTCAACCTGCTTTGCATCGCTCACGTCGCACTTGTAGTAAACCACGCCCTTGTTTTCCGCCTCATCTTCGTCGACCTCCTTCATGTCTAGGACGGCGATATTGGCATTGCGCATTCCATACGTCTCTGCCAGCAGACCGCCGAGGCCGTCAACACCGCCGGTTATGACAATAACCTCTTCCTCTAGGTCCACCTCGCGCGGTGATCCCCATGCGATCCGGTCGCTGATGAGTCCGAAGATGCCGGTGACAGTCATGAGCATAGCCCAAGCCATGGCAATGCGCATCTCGATGTTCTCATAAGGCGTGTACTGCGCGCGCAGACACAGGACCACAACCCATGATACGAACGGATGGAAGACCGTATATCCGAGGACGTACCATATCAGGTCGACATTGATGTAGTGGTGCCATGGCTCGTCGGGTCGGTCGAAGCTCTTCGGTAGCTGGACGGGTACTTCTCTTATTGAGGAAGACATGGTGGGCATGTCGATACAAGAGGATTGTTGGATCATGGAGGATGGTGGGGCGCGACGGCGCGAAGTTGAGGCTTGGACACGAATCGGACGTTGGGAGTAGGTAATACGGCGACAATGCTACCCGGGAGCAAGAAGGAAGATATCTGAGAATGCGCAATTTGCGTAAACAGTATACGGGGCCATTCTGTTCTTATTGTACTGTCGCTGATGCTGAGGTTTGCAGTGTTTCATTCGCGCCTCAGGTCTCCAGGACGCTAGCCGGAGTGCTTCAAGCTGCGAGTGAGGGGCTGAGTAAGCGACTTCCCTTGCCGTGCTCATCTGTCCACACCAACCCCAAACCCACAGCACAGCTACCATCATGGAGTCCAAGAAATCACTCATCCTGCATGGCGGCCTATGCGACCGTTTCTGTGGTGACAACGCGATGCTGAAGTCCCTTGTGCCAAAGCACGCTCAGGCGGGGAAGTAGCACCGCAGTGCGCTGACGCACTTCATCTCCTGATCACCAGATACCGGCCCCGGGGCTTTCCTTTGACGGACCGTGGCTATTGATCGTGCTCTCCTTCTCGAGACATGGTGGCAGTCCATACTGGTAAGGAGAATGCGATTCCCGAATTGGACCTGCTCCACCAGGAAAGCGATCTTGCGAGATCGTGATCGCCCTTCCAGCTACATGAGCAAGCACCATGGACCTCGAAGAATGGTTTCACACGCTGCTAGCATCTAAAAATCGGATACGGCAGTTGGGGCATCTCCTTATGGCTGCGTACCGATATCTCTGGGTGTCTAACCAAAAGCCAGGGTAGCAATAGGCTTGGAAGACTTCACGAAATGGATGAGCTACCTTCCAGCGCATCCTGCGCACCTCCCCAAATCTGTCCAACTTATGGCAGCAACGGGTGATGTTACAACTTCCTGTGTTCGTTATGACGACACGTAAACACACGTTCTACCGCTCATAAACTCCACCTCCCATCCCGAGTCTCTTCTTCTTCTCCAACCCCTTCTCCAGTGTTTTCTACTGCTACTGCTGACTGCATCATCTCTCATACCGAACCCTTTCAACAGAATGCTCGGGCAAGCCTTCTTCGTCCTCGCACTCGCACTCGCGGCTCTGGCTCAGGCCGGAGCTATCGTCACCAACCATTGCCCATACACTGTCTATATCTGGTCTGTACCCCAGTGGCTCAGCAGCTCACTCACCGAAAACGTCCCCCTCAAACCTCATGGTCAGTACCGAGAACCATGGCACTTTGGGTCCCCCCTCAATCCTGGTGTTGCCATCAAGATCTCCGACAAGTTCGAAGGTATCAACAGGGGCGCCAACGAGATGGACTTCGCCTACACGATTGACCTGGACACCCTGGACAAGGTCTGGGTCGGCATCTCCCCAGTTCGAGGTAACCCCTTCCACAACAAGATCGCCTTGCACAGCTGTCACCAGAGCTTCTACGGCTCCGCAGAGGTTGAGACACATGTTTGCACCCCTAAAGACAATATTGAGCTTGTCCTTTGCGACACGTCACCACGCGTGACTACATTGAAAGATTCCACGTCTCTTGCCGATATCATGTATTGCTACGACTACCCATATTTTGGCCTTACACACCACGGTGCAGACAGCGCTGAAGCTCACACGGGCAACCTTCCAAATCATGTGGCAGAGGATACCGACTCCGACTCCGGATCTGACACGGACGGTTCCGAATCGCGGGAGCTCCATACCATGAAGTTCACGTATACCATGGGCATGACCGCTGAGTTCTCCGATGAACCGACCCCCGGTTTCGTACCGGCACCGTCCACATCGTCAGTGATTCTTCCGCCCAGACCAGCGAGTACCGTATCAGGACCAGCAATTCCGCACAGGCCAGCACCATCGGACACCACCTCCACCACCTCGCGCGGGGGCTTTTTCACACCACCTGCGCCTGCACCTCGCGAAACAGACTGCCCAGATTGCAAGAAGCCACGAAAACCAGGAAACAGCCCATGCCTAGCCAGGGTCATTTACCCGGCAAGACGTCGCGTCCCTGCAGCTCGCAACACTCCAGACGACATTGAGCCAACACGCGTACCAACCCCACATCACTCAGTAATCCCAACACTGTGCAACATCGTCCGGAGGTACCACACTGGAGTCGACGATTGTGATGAATCGGCACTAGAGTCGTATGCTCGTGCCATATACCCCACAGTTTGCGATCCCGTGAATGCTTCACTCCTGATGGGCTTCCCATGCGAGGAGGTTATGGAAGAGATGAAGAAAGTCTACCCAGCCATCGATGCCCCGGTGATTTCCTCATGCGAATGCGAACCGGACTGCGAATTCTGCGGACACTTCAACGGCACTTGCTACTGCGCAGGCGCTATCGTGGCGCCGATGCACGCTGGCATCGAATCTCTCCCGACGGATTTCGAATCTTTTCCCTTCACTCCTGAGGATCAAAGGATCTGCCTGTATTCCCTGTGCGACCCAGAGATCCCCGGAGTCAGCTGCAATGACGCAGCCGATCTACTTCACGCCATTCTAACGCTCAACAACGAGAGTTACGAAGAATGGGTCTCCGAGGTCAGGCCTCATACCTGCGATGCTTACTCTGTTTTCAAGATGGCTACAGGTCAGCTGGCAATCTGCATTGCTGATCTTTGTGCGCACCACCCTGAAACATGCGACAACATCCAGGCTCTTCTCACTTCAGGTACCAAGGCTAAGTTGGGCATGGACGTCTTCTTCATCAAGCACCGCGCCGTATGCGACCAGGTCCTCGATGAGAGTACCTGAAGCTTGGGCATGACCAGCGACATGGTGGACTGGGGAGCTTGATCGTTGTTATCGTTGTCATCGCTGGTTGTCTTTTTGCTTTCACCTCATGCCCTTAGCGTTCGCATAGCTTACCGTTTGTACTTTCATTTGCCTTTCAATGCCGATTATTCTTCTCAATGCGATCACTTGGCTTTCAATATGCTCACATGCACTGTCGAATGATGAGATTGTATCACGTCCACGTTGCCAAAGATCCCACAAGTTTCATGTCAAGACATGTATTGTCTAAGGAAAAGCCTCGTGCAAGCACAAGGTCGGCCTCTGACCTCGGTGAGAGAGCGACGATGAGCTACTCTAGACTATTACACTGACCACTCGACCCCATCTACATACCCCGTACCTCTGAGCTCGACCTAGGCAGCCTCGTTCCCGCCCTCTCCATCCTCGCCATCGCCACCGTCACGTTCCTCCTCCTTATCCATATACTCCGTGACACGAGCAAGGAACTCCGCCTCCGACCCGTTCTTCATGTCGATCAGCTTCTGGTAGTCCTCGCACAGTTGCTCGTGTCGCCCAGCCTCAGTCTCAAGCTCTGCATTGTTCGCTTTGATCGCCGCATCCAGAACTTCGATGCGCTCCATGTCTAGATTCGGTGCAAGCCTGGCTTCGGTCAGCTGCTCTAGAAGGGCCGCATATTCCTCCTCCAACTTGGCGACGAGGGCTTTCTTCTTCTCGATACGCTTCTCTGCTCGCTTGCAGGACCTCTCGTAGTAGGCTAGACGCTCGGCCATGGTGGCGTCGCTGGCGGGGGTGGTGTTGGTGTTGTTGTTGGACATTGTTGATGTTGTGTTGTTGAGATTGGTAGTTCTTGTAAGTTGTTCTTGTATGCTGGATGATGCTATCGGATGAAGACTCACTCATACACAGGAAGTACTTCGTTTATATCCCGAATCGCTCCGGTTTGTCTATTGTCTACGTTTGCAACTACAAGAAAGAACACTCCCAACTCCAACAACGCCTACCAAGACATATTTGCAAAGACAAAAAACCACAAGAAACCACAAGAACACCCCGAATGAAAGACAACAACGAAACCCAATTAGTCTACCAGCGAGCGTTTGTAAAGAAAGAGAAACCACGCAAACTCCAATCAAATCCTCAAAGCAGTTCTATCCCAAACTCTGTAGTCCAGAAACTACCGGAACCAGCGTCGGTGCAATGCCACGCCGATCTAGAGACGTCGCATACCATTAGAGGCCTGTCGTAGAACCGAGAACAGGAACAAGATCATCAGGAGACGTACCAAGCATGCCGGAGCCAAGACCATGACGAGAACGGCCAGGACATCCATTCCAGCGACAGGCTCTGGGCGGGGATGAATGGGTTGCGGCTGCGGCTCCTCGTCGATAGGGCCGGGGCATGTCGGTTCAGGAACAGGAGGTTCGGGCTCAGGTACGGTAGGTGCAGCTGCCACTTCTTCCCGAGGAGCTCCAGCAAGACGTTCAATCACCTCCTTCAAAAACTCCTCGATTTCCCTAACTTTCTCTTCCATGTTCCGCAAGTTCTCACACCCATCTTCCTCTGGCGCTGTAACACTGTTGCCAGCCTCTGCAACACCATCCACAACGGCAGCAGCTCGCTCCGCCCGGTACTCAGCACCGTGCTTGCGCAACCAGTGCACCAGCGCAATAACGTTGGGGTATTCGACTTGACTAGGCCAGTCTCGGTGGAGCGGCTGGAGGATATCGTGGACAGTTGTGCGGTCTTCGACGGTGAGAGTGAGGAACCAGGCGTCGAATTCGTGGGGGGAGAGTGTGGAGGCCTCCTGGAAAAAGAACTTGAGTTTTGCGACTAGTTCGCCGCGGGAGGAGGAGGGGGTAGCGCTGAGGTTGACGCGTGGGGAAGGCATATTGGTGAGATTATTGGGGGTGTTTGTTGGTGGTTTGATGATAAGAAGAGTTGGAATGCTGTTGTGCTGGTGTTGTGAGATAGTAGTGAAGATGTGAAGATGTGTTGATATCTCCTCACTCCCACGAACTCCCCCATCCTCTTATATCCCCCATCCCCTGGCCCAAACTTCCTCACATACCCTCCCCCGTCACGTTCCAGCGTCACTCACTCCAGCCCACACATGCTCATCATCTGACCAAACCACAAAGTCTCAACAAAGTCTCATTAACTGATCTAGATACCTTCTTTCACCCACTTCCGCAAAGCGCACCAAGCGCCGAACACCGAGCAATGTCTCAAGCCCATGTCTTCTATTGCTTTGACCCGAAAATGCCAACCTTGATCTTCATAGGTGTCTTGGGTGTTAACGGCCCCCGCTCTGTCTCAGCGCCATGTTCCACATACATGCTCTTCTCGTCTGGCGGGTATGCGCTCTCTGCGTCTCTTGCGCATTGCCCAGCGCCCACTTCGATTTTGACGTGTCCGTCTTGGTCGCCGCGTAAGTTGACGATGAGGGACCCGTTGCCTCCGTCGGGGTCGCTTAGCAGCCAGATGTGCTTCATCCTCCTCCCTTCTCTCCGTTCCATGATGTCGTCGGCTGCAGCTGCGATGTCGCCTCCGCCTCTCGATGCAGCGACAATGAGATCACGTGGATCGAGATAGTTGAAGCGGCCCAGCGCAGACCACGCTGCTGTGCGCACAGCCTCAAACACAACAGCGAGGATGATGACGAGGTTGAGCGTGAAAATAGCGTAAATATAACTCGGTTGACCAAACTGCAGCGCGTAGACGTAGACTTTGGCTGGTTGCTGAGTGAACATGCGTCCAACCATGAGCTGCGCAGACGCATACGCAACCAACATATCATCAGCCATAGCAACCATGCTATTCGTGAGACCCGCCAGTGTTGCTTCCTCTTCAGTAAACGTCCGGTTATTGAACGTCTCTGACATCTTGTATGCGGCGATACTGGAGTTGAACGCCTCGCCTAGGAGCGAAACATACAGATTCGTCATGTCATTAGACATGAGCTCGAACTGCCGCACAACCGTGCGCGTGACGTTTCGCTGGGGGTTGAAATCAGGCATGGTGCGCACGGGCTTGACGGTGATGTTGAGATTGCCGACGTCGACGGTGACGTTGAAGAGGGTGGGGGTGAAGTTGAATTCGCATTGCGTGGTGTTGAGGAAGGAGTACGCTGACCCAGCAGCGATGGCGAGGTAGCGGCGAGGCGAACGGTCGCTGTATGCTACGCCCATCGCTACGATGGCTTTTCCGTCGTGCCCGATGTAGTTTGAGTATTCCGGGCCTTCTTCGCTGTCTGGCAGGTTGCCGGAAGCCGCATAGATCCATTCGTTGACTGGTCCGGAAAGAGTGAAGTTGGAAGTTGCGTTGTATGTGCAGGTGACGTTTGCCAGATAGCCCTCCTCTTGGTAGATGTATCCCGCAACCTGGCTGTTCGACCTAATCCCTTGGTCCATCAATCCGATCGACGCGCCGACGCCATATGACCGGCCTCGGTAGCTGAACTGAGTGTTGTCGAGTTTGCGATGGACATGGGGTCCTCCACCCAAAGAAGACGCTTGAGCCGCTGATGCCAGAAGCTGACTGCTCTGTTGCTGGCCAACCGAATACGTGAAGAAGCCCTTTTGCGTGCGCAGCGACGGTCCCGAACTACCTATCATCATCGGATACTCTTTGATCATCGACACATCCTCGTAGCTTGGGATCAAAAGCATGCCGCTATCCACCGTCCGCGATACCGACGGTGTCATCGAACCAGCCCAGAGCGCCGCAGGCACTAGGCTGAGAAGAACGACGAAGACGGAGGGAAAGAAGAACCGTAGAGGCAAGTCCCAATCCACGCGCATGATGCTCATATCCACCCAAGTGCGCAACACATCCAGGGAAACGCTGACCTTGTTGAGTCGTAGTCGAAGCGCATAGTTGATAAGCTTGCAAATGACCGCGAGATGCAAAAGTCCAAAGAAGGCGGCAAGAAGCTGCACGACCAACGCAGCAGAACCAGGGAACCTATTCGCAAGAGTGAAGAGCTGACCAGTAACCCTGCATTCGTTGAGCTGCGCCAGCAGAAGAACCGTCGAAAGCGTCGTCGTAAAGGAAAGTCCGTAGAAAGTATTATACCGTCCCCAATGGCTATACCGCACCGTCCTGCCATCATCCCCCGTATCCCTCCGATCTCCGGGTAAGAAGGTGAATTGCCGAACCATTACAAAAGATTAAAAAAAAACGAGCGAAAAAGGGACCGGCCAGCGGTTACGAAAAGAACGAAAAACCTTCAAGGTGGATGGAAGAACGAGCGACGAGATGGCAAAAAGAGAAAGGAATCCTCATGTTGGCCATCTTAGACGGTGGTTGAGTGTTTGGGCATTGGCATGCCAGGCTACCCGTGTTACCAGGCAAGTGTTGACAGTTGTTGTATCAGGTGCGGCGAGATTTCATGCCTGAGACGAAGGATCCACTGTGATCGTGGCTGCATGCGGTAAGTCTTCACATAACTTTTTGGATGTGCATGATGTTATACAAGGACGAGATATCGTTATTGTGCAGATATCCAGCTGGAGGACGACGGGTTCTCCTTGTTGCGCTCTTGTGTTGCTCTTGTCGGGTTGGCAGGTAATGCGTGTTACTCGATGGAGGAGCGCAGCATGAATATAGGGCTTAAAGCATTGTGCAGTTTCGTATGCACTGAACGGTATAGGACTTTCTGCTAAGTGAGCATCGGACGTTGATTGCCGAAGGTACCTAGGTATCTTAGTTAGAGAGTCCCAGGTACCTAGCTCTGGGAGCCGCAAGGTGTTGCGCCACTGAAACCCGGTGAACGGTTCATCTGGCGCATCGCAAGAAAATTGGAGCACATCGCTGACTGACCAATAAGCTGGAACGCGTGAGCTCGAGTATAACGAGAAGGATGAAGAGTATCGTGCATAACACATAACGCGACCGCGTCGCACACTGAGACCCACCCGATCACGACCGTCGATGACATCACCACCTACAATCTCCAGTTTCCACCTCCAGCTCCCAACGCGCAATTGCATGCGCATCAAAACGCGTCAACGCCATCCACCCAACCCACCAATTCACCAGTCCCAAACTCCAACAAATACCGACCATCACAACTCCCCTCCTGCCTTCTCGGTTGGACGAACCGACCAACCACACCCAAAGACCCTACCGCCAAGCCACCCACCTGAAACCCCCACCATACCCAAACCAGGCCTAGCGCATCTCTCCTGCCACTCAGAACCCGTTTGATCTACGCGGGCCCCCTAAGCTCCTTGACTCCTGCATATTCGTATATTGCTATCTTTTGCCGTGTTATCTATCGCTATCTAACATTTTGTGGATTCTAACATCAAGGGATAGCTTAGATAGAAGAGAAGATACTAAGGTAAAAGATTTATGCAGTTCTAGTTACGGGTTACAGATTATAGGTTAGATATAGAACGTAGCATAGCGTATTTCTAGGTTTCGCTAATGCTAATACTAGTAGAGTTTATTAGACTCGGATCTAAATATAACAAGGGTGCTTAGAGGTTGTAAGGCAGCCTTTCTACTTAACTAGCGCGACTTAGCTATTATTAAACTTATTATTTAGCTAGAGATATATTAGCTATAGAGGCTCTATAGTAGGTTTATAGATAAAGTATCTATGTAAAGTGTTATATGTAGTTAGTAAGGTAGTTAGCCTATTGTAGCTGTGTATACAGCCTACAGAAAGTATTATATAAGGTAGAATAACTAGATATTATTGCTAGTTAATAAGTATATATTTTACTAAGATCTTAGATAGTGTTATAGCTATACTATTAAGTTATATAGAAGTAGTAACTAGTGTATTATATACTATATATGTGTATAGATACGCTTTATTATTAATAGTGTTATAAGTATCTTAAATCTAAAAAATTAAGTCTTAAATAAGTAATAGCTCTCTACTAAGTATCTTAAAAGTTATAATTAAAGTTTAATATATACTCTATAAATATATATAAAAGCGCGCTAAGTCTTTTTAGCTTAGCTACTAATACTTTTAGTAAATAGCTTATTTTAAAAAAAATTACTATATAAGTAATATAATTACTTTATTATTTTAAAATTTAAATAAAATAGTAATATAACTATTATAATAGGCTTAGACTTTGTCTAAGCCTTAGCTTAGTATATAAAGCAAGGCTTACTATAAGCTCTCTCTCTAAGAAATATAATATCTTTACTAATACTTATTATAGCTATACTTTAAGGCTAGTCTATAATATTTATATTTCTTCTTTTTATACGCTATACCTAAGTATTATAATAGTAGAATTTAGTATATAGAATATCTAAAAGTCTCTAGAAGTCTCTCTTCTTATATTACTCTACTAGCTTTCTAAGTAAATAGTAGCTATCTATAAAATATAGGCCTAGAACTATATTATAATAGTAATGTTGCGCTTTTAGAATAAGAAACTATATAACTTTATTATCTTAATACGCTTTATGCCTAGCTCTATAATATTACTATCTATTACTATAACTATAATCTTATTAGTGCCTACGCTATTCTTCTTAGTAGCTATAGTACTACTACTTTTAAGTTCTTCTACTACTATAGTAGTCTTTACTTTCTACTATAAGGCCTTACCTCTAGAGAAGCTATTTACTAGTAATAGAATATACTTTTATTTATAGCGTATTATAATAGAATATAGATTAAATATAAACTAGAAGTTTATTAAAGATATAAAGGCCTAGTTTATTTATATTTAGTAGTTTTTCTTAATTATAGTATAGCGCAAAGTTACTTTATTCTATAAGCTTAGTAAGTAGAACTATTAGAACTCTATTACCTTTCTAGAGTATCTTAAGTTCTATTATAGTAACTAGTACTTCTAGAAGCGCGTCTAAGTATAGTTAGATTACTTATAATAAAGTAAAAAGTAGAGCTTTACT